CTTCACCTTCAGTGATCTTAACAAAACCAAGAACAGACACAGAAGCTCAAGATGAATATGTGTTTTTTCTGCCTGAGATGGTTGTAGTTTCCACTAACTAGTCATGTATCCTTAATAGTCCCCCATTTTACTCTCTAAAGTGTCCAATCACCCTACTGAAGCCTACCTGTGAATTCTGCACCTCATGTCTCCTTCCCAAATTATCTTCCATAAGAAGGAAGGCGCTGAAATTTGTTTTTTAAAGACAGGGTCTCACTATAAAGCCTTGGTTTGGCTTGGAACTTACTATGTAGACTAGACTGGTCCTGAATTTACAGAGATCTGCCTGCCTCTGCCTTCCAGAGGCTGAGATGAAAGTTATGCACCACTATGCACATCAGGGCTGAAATAAATATATGGGGTAAAACTGTAGGGGAAAACTTGCAGAGAAATGTGTACAGAGAAAATTTATGCGTGTACGCACACACACACATACATGCACACACACAACCCCAACTTTGTTTTTTTCACCCACAGCTAACCACATATCACCCTAAAATCTAAAAGAAAACAAACCTACCTCTCTGCATACAGCAGCGATCTGTGCTTCGTCCATGCAGGTTTCTGTTACAACATCAGTGAGTGACCCACCAGCAAGGTACTCCATTACCACAAACAACTCATCTCCCACCAGGTAACTGAAAACAGAACATACAAAATACACTTGTGTTTTTTATTTTTTCTAAGCACATGGCTCTTTCTGTTTATGAATTAAAATATCAAACATAGTAATAATAAAACCAAAGAGCCAAGGGTTTGAGAACTAGGAAGAACACTGGAAAGGTATTACATAACAGCACAAAATAAGATGCTCCGGAGCCCAGGGTAGTAGCTTACAATTCCAACACTTAGGAAGCTGAAGGAGGAAGATCACCATAAGTTTGAGGCCAGCCTGAGCAAGATTCCCAAACAAATAACACACACATACATACACCCACAAAAAAAAAGTCCTAGAATCATTTTAAATTTAAAGTCTCCTCACAACTGTTTGAGCATATACATTCATTATTTTAATGTATTTTATGTAGGAGTTAAACACACATATACATACATTCACAAAAAAATGTCCCAGAATCATTTTAAATTTAGTCTCCTCACAACTGTTTGAGCATATACATTCATTATTTTAATGTATTTAATGTAGGAGTTATTTCCTGACAGCAGGTTGGGCTTGACAGCCCACTGTGGCAGAAGATTTGCAAGTTCAAAAACAGCTTGGACTACATACCAAGACTGCATCTCAAAAAGAAAAAACCAAAAAACCAAAACCCAAACCCAAACCAAACAAAACAGTGAGAGAGAAAAACATAAAAACTAGGAGACTGACACTTGGAAAGGTTAACTAACTCATCTGAGATCACAGGGCTAGAAATTGATAGTAACAGAACCTGAAGCCAAGTCCCAATGACCCAAAGCCTTGGGGCCTGCCTTAGTCTTTTGGCTATGCTGAAATGAAATTCTTTTTTAAAAAATATTATTTTTATTTCATGTTAGTGCCTGCATCCACATTAAGTGCACCTGTGTCATACAATGCTAGCAGAGATCAGAAAAGGGCATCAGATCCCCTGGAACTGGAGTTAAGGACAGTTGTTAGCAGCCATGTGGATGTTGGGAACTAAACCCAGATCCTCTGCAAGAACAGTCAATGCTCTAACCACTGAACTATCTCTCTAGTCCCCATAAAATGCTATTAAAAAAAATATTTTATGTAGGGGCTGGAGAGATGTATCAGCTGTTAAGAGTACTGACCGCCCTTAAAGAGGACCTAGGTCCAGTTCCCAGCACCCACATAATGAGTAACAATCATCCTTACTTAACTCCAGTTCCAGGGATTTGACACCCTCTTCTGACTGCCTCAGACATTGTACAACATGGTATACTTACAAACATGCAGGAAATATACTCATACACATAAAACAAATAATACAGCTGGGTCTACAGGGAGACCCTTTCTCAACCCCCCCTCAACCAAACACAAACAAAAACAAATGAAAAAAACTGGGAACTAGCGAGATGGTTCAGCAGTTAAGAATGTTTGTTCCTCTTGCAGAGGACATGAGTTTGGTTCCCGGCCACCCTTATGGTGGCTCACAACCCTCTATAACTCCAGTTCCAAGGGATCTGGGTGCCTTTTTCTGGTCTCTGTGGGCACCAAGCATACATGTGGTGCACATACATAAATGCAGACAAAGTACTCACATACATAAAATAAAAATAAATCTAGTTGGGTATGGTGCAGGAGGCAGAGGCAGATGGATCTCAGTGAGATTGAGGCCAGTCAGTCTACATAGCTAGTTACAGGCCAGCTGGGGCTAGAAGGAGACCTTGTCTCAAAAAGACCAAAAAAAAAAAAAAAAAACCCACCAAAACAAATGGCACACACCTGTAATCTAGCTTCTTCGGAGGCTGAAGCAGGCAGCTGGCAAGTTGGGGGCACATAAAATAAAAACTAAACTAATCTCACAGATTAAGAATTGTGTGGCTAGTCATCTCTGTAAGTTGCAGCATGAATCCCAGCCAGTCACTCCTTAATGTTTCTGCTCTAAAATAAGTACCACCCTTGGTCCTTTCTTTAACTACCCTCACACTTGCCAAGTGAGATCCTGCACAAAAGGCTCCATCTAAACTGCAATGTACTGTGTTCACTGTTCTTCCTCCTCCTCTTGGCTTATTTCTCAGCAGTGACATCTTCAAGTGCTATCCCTGTGCCAAGTGATGACTATAAATGTCTATATTCTCATTCCAGTGTATGTTTGCTTCTTTCCTGCCTTCTCTTTCATTCATTCTCACTTGTTAAGACAGTGACTCACTATGTGGCCCAGACTCACCCTGAACTCTTGATATCCTGCCTCAGCCCTACCATGTTGGGATTATAGTCATGACTGACCATGCACAGTTTATCCTAATTTTAAAGAAAATAATCCTATTTACCTGTCCAAGAAGTTAACTATATTGGGATTTTTTAACTCTTTCATCACCAGAATCTCATTAATGATCAATTCCTTCTTTGGCTGTTTCTGTAAATTAATCTGCTTGATAGCAACCTATAATGGAAACAAATTTGAAAAATCAGAACATTCCTAATTATCTTAGAAAGTTAACACACCATTTAGTTAATAATTTATTATACATATATTACACAGTGAATTATAACTTACTCATAAATAGTATTTTTACTTGCACACTGCCTCTGCACAATGTTCTGCAACACAGTTAAGTGTGTATGTGTGGAGATCAGAGGACAACCTTTGGTTTTCTCCTTCAACCGAGTCCAAGGGACTGAACTCAGTTGTCAGGCTTGGTGGCAGGAGTCTTTACCCATGGAGCCATTTCACTGGCCCTAGATTTACCTTGAAGTTTATCAACCAAGCCGAAGACAGTCTAACATAAGGAATTATTTTTTTATTTTAACTTTAAATATTTTTATGTGTATGAGTGTACTGTCTGCATGTTATGTAAGTGTGCGCGTGTTGTGCAATGCCTGTGGAGGTCAGAAGAGACCATCAAATTCCTCTGGAATTGGAGTTATAGGCAACTGTTAGCCACCATGTGGGGACTCAAACTCTGGTCCTTTGCCAGAGAAGTCAGTGATCTTAACAGCTGAACCATCTCTTCAGCTCCGAGGAATTTTTTTTTTTAAATTCCAATTCAGGAAAATATTTTTTCAAAAATCTAAAGCTCATTAATTCTTCCTTTGTTCCTCTAACATAAGAATTGTAAGACTAGATAGTCCAAATCATTTTTTTTTTAATTTTTATTTTATGTGCATGACTGCATTGCCTGAATGTATGTGAGTGCACCTGTGTTGTGCAGTGCCACGGTCAGAAGAGGGCATTGGATTCCCCTGGAATTGGAGTCAAGGATGGTTCATAGCTGCCATGTGGATGCTGGGAATTGAACCTGGGTCCTCTGCAAGAGCAGTCAGTGCTCTTAACTGCTGAGCCATCTCTCCAGCCCTGATAGGTCAATTCTTACAACATATTCAACTTAAAGAAATTCTATGGCCACGAGCTCAGTTGATATAGTACTTTCCAGCATAAGGACCCAAGTACCATCTCCAAAATCCACATTAAAAACAAACAAACAACCTAGGAATGGTGGAATGTGCTTGTAATTCCAGCGTTAGGGAAGCAGAGACAGGAGGCTCCCTGGAGCTCCCTAGGCACTTACTGGTAAGTGCCAGGCTAGTGAGAGACTGTTTCCAAGTAGACGGTGCCTGAGAACAAAGACCCAAGGTTCTACTTATTATTCTTGGCTTTATCAAGTTTTTCCTACAGGAAAGGTTAATGGTAACATCCAGAAGTATGAAAAAGTAGCTACCTCCTGTCCCAGTGCCACATCAGTTGCAGTGAAAACTGTACCAGAAGCCCTGCAGGAAGAAAAGATATAATCAGAGTTCAGGTTCTTAAGTTATTACTATATATAATGACGAAGATCAAAAAAGATTTAACTTCGGGGCTGGAGAGATGGCTCAGTGGTTAAGAGTGCTTACTGCTCCTGTGAGTACCTGAGTTCAGAACCCAGATGGCAGCTCACAACCACCTGTAAGTTCAGTTCCAGGGGGATCCAACACCTTCTTCTGGCCTCTGCAGGGTACTGCACCCATGTATGTGGTGCATATACATATATACATCAGCAAAAACCACTCACACACATAAAATAAATCTTAAATAAAAGATTTAAATCTTAGACTCAAGACTTTTAGAATAAGTAAAAGCAAGAATAAAAAGGAGAAAAAGAAGAAAATCCTTGTGACCAAAACTGAAGTTTGAAATAATTCAAACCAGGGACTGGAGAGCTGGCTCAGTGCTAAGAGTACTGACTGCTTTTCCAGAGGAGGAGCACCCATGGGGTGTAACAACTGTCTGTAACTCCAATTCCATGGAATCCCATACCCCCTCTCTGGCTCTGCAGGCGTTGCACCCATGGGTGCACTTACATGTGTAGGCAAAACCAAAACCCACAACAAAATGAAACAATGAAGTACCAATAAACTTGAAGATTGTCTCTAGCCTTTCTGGCAGGTCTTTCTCTGTCTGTGTTTGATGTGCATCATTCTTAAGAATTTCTCTGAACTTCTAACTCCAAAAGACACAGGTATGCTTCTCTAGAAAATATATTTGTTTTATTTTTTATACCTCAAACATTTCTTTTTCATGTATTTCTCTGCTATTTCAACTTTGGATTTGTGATGGTCAGCTCTATGGATAGGTATTATTCTTGATCATTCATTACTACTACTCACTATATCTATTATGCTAAAAAATATAAAGGTAAAGCTGGAGATGGAGCTCATGACAGAGCCCTTGCCTAACATGCACAGGCTCCAGGTTCAATGCCCAGCACTAGAAGAAAACAAAACAAGGTGACTTTCCATTTTTTTGTAATCAAAACTAGTACTATGGGGGTTAGAGAGATGGTTCAGTGGTTAAGAGCACTGGCTGCTTTTGCAGAGGACCTGGGTTCAATTCCTAGTATTGACATGGTTGCAACAAATCGCCCTGAACTCTAGTTCAGGGGACCCGACACCCTCTTCTGGTTTCCATGGGCACTGCACACATGTACATGGTACACTTACATGCAGGCAAAATACTCATACACATAAAAATCAGTAAATAAGGGGCTGGAGAGACGGCTCAGTGGTTAAGAGCACTGACTGCTCTTGCAGAGGACCTGGGTTTGATTCCTAGCACCATCCTTAACTCAGTTCCAGGGGAATCCGAAGCTCTCACACACATTATTAAAAAAAAAATATATATATATATGTCCTTTCTGAGACTGTCTCCCTGTAGCCCCAGCTGACCTGGAACTCGCTATGTAGACTAGGCTGGCCTCAAACTCACAGAGATCTGCCTGCCTCTGCCTCCCAAGTGCTGGGATTAAAGGTGTGTGCCACCACACCCAGTCCAATAAATAAAATACAGAACATGCTACAATTAAGATGAGAAAAATTAAAAAAAATAGTATTTAATGTCATGATTTATAAACATGTTTTATTACTGCAATAATATGGGGCTGGAGAGATGGCTCAGACCCAGGTTCAAATCCCAGGGCCCACATGACAGCTAACAACCACCCTTAACTCCAGTTCCAAGGGATTCAACACCTCTTCTGTTCTCTGCAGGCATTGTATGATGTGTATGCTTACATGCATGTAGGCAACATACACATACACATAAATAAAAATAATAAATAAAATATTAAAAAAATAAGACTCTAATAAATACTTTTTGGCCACCATTTTTTAGACAGGGACTTATTATGTAGTCCTGGAGGGTCTAGAACTCACAGAAAAGTACTTGCCTCCTGAGTGCAGGGATTAAAGGCATATACCACTATATCTGGCTGCAATAAGTATTTTGTCTCTAACAATAAATACATTGTCTTTAAAATGGATTATGTACAATTTTTCTATCCATCTGGTCCCTTACCACCAGGAAATGACATAACAAGCCACAAAAACCAGGTATAGTGGTGCATACCTGCAGTCCTAGCACCAGGGAGGCCAAAGATACAGGATCACTAGTTTCAGGTCAGCCTGGACTACACAGAGAGACTGTATTTAAGATGATGCTGATGCTGGGTGTTGTGGTACAAGCCTTTAATCTCAGCTCTTGGGAGGCAGGGACAGGCAGATCTCTCTGAGGCGGAGGCCAGTCTGGACTACCTAGGAAGTTCCAGGCCAGCTGTGGCTACAGGGAGACCCCGCTTCAAAAAGCCACATACCGCCCCCCTGCACAAAACACCCAATAAAGATGAGGATGATGAAGATGGAGGAAGAGATAGAGGGAAGGAGAGGGAGAGTAAGAGGGGGAGACTTATTGATGAGGAAGAAAAAAGGGAAGTTGGGAAGGAAGGAGAAATGATGTAAAGTCACTGTTAACCAGTGCTGTTTTTATTTTTTTCTGGAACAAGGGCTCACTATGTAGCTCAGGTTAGCCTCAGACTCGTGGTAATCCTTCTGCCTCAGCTTCCCAAGTGATAGGATTATAAGTATGTTACTATACCCAGTTTACTAGTATAGTTTCTTTTTTTCTCTGGTCTTTTTGAGACAGGGTCTCCCTGTAGCCCCAGCTGGCCTGGAACTCTTTATGTAGACTAAGCTGGTTTTGATCTCAGAAATCCAGTAGCCTCTAAATCCTGAGTGCCAGGATTAAAGGTGTGTACCACCACACTTAGCTACCAGTATAGTTTTACAGTAGTTATCTGGATACAACTGTGTTATGTATTTACCCAATTCCCCCAGGGTACCATTCTGAATAGTTAAGGGCTCAGTGTCAAAGGGAAGAGTGCTGTATACCCAGAGAGTACTGAGTATAACGGTAGTACAGTCACCAACACTTACCCTTGTCCAATTTTTTCGTATCTTGTATACTTTTTCTTAGGGTCACCTATGCTCACAATAGTTCCTATTTTAAACAAACGAAAGTTAGAAGTCAGTCAAGAATGTTAAATGCAAATAAATTTTGATAATTATCCCTTTTAATAAACTGCATTTACTGTAAAAGTGCTTTTCTATATGAGAAGTTTCAAAAATAATTTGCCTCAAACACTCAACACTCAAGAAAAATAAGTAAAATAAAGAAAAAAACACATTTTCCATTAGGTTAGACCACTTAATCACTTTCTCAAAAACAGTATTATTTTAGTCCAGTTCACCTGTTTCTGTCTCTTGGGGTTCTCAGCATGGAGAGAGTGCAGTATTAGTGAAAGTTTTTGTTTCTGCTCTTTTTTTTGGTCTTTTTGAGACAGGGTCTCCCTGTAGCCCCAGCTGGTCTGGAACTCACAATGTAGACCAGGCTGGCCTTGAATCACAGAGATCCACCTGCCTCTGCCTCCCAAGTGCTGGGACTATAGGCATGCGCCACCATGCCCAGCTTGCTCTTCTGTTTTTAAACAGCATCTCATGTATTTATGTTAGCCTTGAATTTACAATGTAGTGGAGAATGATCTTAAATTTCTGATCTTTCTGACTCTACCTCACAAATGCTGGGATTACAAGCATGCACCACTAAGCCCTGTTTATGTGCTGTTGGGTGCATGTTAGACAAGCACTCTACCAACTAAGCTCCATCTCCAGTACTTCTTTTAGAAATTTGTTAAAAAGGGTAACATACTGTATTCTTGGCTATGGCCCATAACTTACTATATAGCCCAGACTGGCCTTGCTTGAATTCACACCAATTTTCCCAAGTGTTGGGATTACAGGTATGAGTCAAAACACCCACCTAGGGCATGCAACTTTTAACACCATACTGCACTAGTGGTAAGCTGTGAAACTATTTACTATCAGAAATAATCAATGAATACAGAGGTAAATGAATAATCCTAACTAGTTTTTCAGGCTTTTCCAGCCTATCTTCTACCTTTTAATTCATTTAGTAAACCACTAAGCATTAAAATCAGGAAATTGGACATAAAATCATGAACTAAAATTAATATTACCATTAAGTTAAAACATGAGAGAAAAAAATCACATTGCATTTTTACTTTTTCAAGGTAAAAGAAGACAGAAACTTATTACACAAAGTCATGAAATAATCTACTTAAGTGCCTAATCCTCAAGTCAGCCACACAACCTCAAGCTAAGAAACATAAGAACAAAATCCCTACGAAGATGTGAAAGAAAAAGAGAGAAAAGAGAAGAGAAGGGAAGGGAGGGGTTGAGATAACTAGAGGACACAATTAAATGGTGACAACTACTATTTTGGCTTGTTGTTTTAAAGTAGTAGCTCTCCTCAGAAGGAACACGATGGCATACCTAGACATACCTAGGGGATTCCAGAATGAAAGCAGGTCTATACTTGACTACTGAGGAAAAAAAACAAGTAACTGTAGAGAACACGTAGGACCAAAATGATCCACCTTCTCCTTGGTACAGCACACATTATTTATAATGACTGATCAAGCCAATAATCACTGATGAATTAAGAGATAAGAGAAAAAATCCTTCTCGAGAAACTTGATGCTGACACACATAGCTAGAAAGTCAGTTTCTTTATTATTCATGTCTATGAGTATGCCTTGCATGTACGGAAGGGCACACATGTTGTACAATGCCCACATAAGCCAGAAAAGGGCGTTTCATGTCCTAAAACTAGAGTTACTGAAGGTTTTTAGTTGCCACACGGGTGCTGGGAATGGAAACTGGGTCATCTGCAAGACCTAGCTGCTCTTAACTACTGAACCATCTCTCCAGCCCGAAGGTCTTTTCTTTTTTTTTTTTAAACATGTGTGTGTGTGTGTGTGTTTGTGCAAGCACATGCCACAGTACAGATGTGGAGGTTACAGAACTTTCAGGAGTCAGCTCTTTCATTCTACCATGTGGGTTTCAGAGATTAAACCCAGGACATCAAGTTTGGTGGCAAGTACTTTTATCTCACTGGCCCTTTAGGACATTTTTATAGGTCTATACTGAGAGTCAACCAACCAACCAACCAACCAACCAATCAATCAATCAATCCACCCACCCACCCATCCAAACAAATATATAGAAATCCCTTTGTTTTGTTTTTTTGGGGGAAATTAAGTCTCCCTGTTGCCCCAGCTGGTTGAGAACTCACTATGTAGGCCAGGCTAGCCTTCATCTCACCAAGATCTGCTTGCCTCTGCCTTCTGAGTGCTGAAATATTGGGGAAATTAAAGGTGTGCACCACCATGCCCAGCTTTTTTTCGTGTATGTGTGTGTGCACGGGTGTGTGTGGGGGAGGAGAGAAACCTTTGATAGAAGTTTCAAAATATGAGGAGGGGCTAAGGATATATAAGCTGAGAACTCCATGAGGCTACCTCTCTCCCCATTTTGTGCAGCTGTCGGGAAGTCACAGAATCTATATTTGAAGGTGGACTTTCCAGCGCAGCAATAAATGGGGGGTGGGGGAGGCCACCTACTCTTCTGTAAATAAACCCCCACCCTATGCTCTGTTAGCAAGCCCAATAAACTTGTTAGGATTTTCAAAAACAAAAAAATTAGTAAGTGACATTGTTTATGGACGAAACTTAGAAGTTATTATAGACCAGAGAAAAATTTGATATTATAAGAAAATAAGACTGAGATTATTTTGCTGGACATTTCTATTATTATTTGAATATGTACTTTCAAATCAGACTTTAAAAAAAAAGTTTCAGAATATGTCCTTTATGGGGAAAAGTGGTGCTAGGGCTCAAACTCAGGGCTTTGCACGTGCTAAACAAGAGCTCTCTATGGAGCTACGCATGTCCCCAGCTCTGGGCCAAATGTTTTAAAGAATATAAAATACAGATAACATACTTAATTTCTCCATGATCTCTTCATCTGTCATCTTGGCTTTCTTCTTCTGCTTGTCTGAAGACTTGGCACCACCATCAACATTAGAATCACCAACTGGAGCAGGAATAGGGTCGATTACAGACCGAGTGTAAATCTATATAGATATGGTTCATTATTGAGAGATTTGAGGGAAAAAAAAAAGTTTTTCAGTTATACTTAGTACCACATAATTCAGTTCTTTGATTTTTTTAAGTGGAACTAAGTTATCTTTTACATTGTTCTGAAGAATGGGAGCATATAACTTCTGGGCATGGAAATGCATGCCTGTAATGCCAGCATTCAGGAGGCTGATGTAACACGTTAAGGGACAGCCTGGGCTACACAGTAAGACTTTATCACAAACAAAAGGTAAACAAGCAAATGACTCCCTCTTCCTACCTGCTGAGTGAACCACACAATGTGCCATGCAGACAGACACTGTCCCCACTTCACTGCATTACACAGCGGGAAGGACGGTTCTGCAGTCGTTCTCTCACTGCCTGGCTGCACTTCAAGTCCTTACTGTTAAAATTCTCTTACCTAGTGACAAATTTTACTCTCAACTGCTTCTTGAATGGACATAATGGCTTTGAGAGAAATGTGAAATAAGGGACTGCAGCGATGGCTCAGTGGTTAAGAGCACTAGCTGTTCTTGCAGAGGACCTGGCTTTGGTTCCCAACACCTACTATCTGTAACTCCAGTTGCAAGGGATCTGATGCCATCTTCTGGCTTTTAAAAATCTGAGGAAGGCCGGGTGTGGTGGCACACGCCTTTAATCCCAGCACTCAGGAGGCAGAGGCAGGCAGATCTCTGTGAGTTTGAGGCCAGCCCGGTCTCCATAGTGAATCCAGAACAGCTGGGGCTACAGGCAGACCCTGTCTTGAAAAGACCAAAAAAATAAAATAAAATAATTCATTCATTCATTCATTCATTCATTTATATTTTGTGTATATGAATGTTTTGCTTGTGTATATCTAAGTGCATCCATGTTGTGCAATGCCCACGGAGGTAAGAAGTGGGTGTTGGATCTCCTGGAACTGGAGAGTTACCCACTATATGGATGCTGGGAACCAAACCCAGGTCCTCTGCAAGAGCTGCCAGTGCTCTCGACTCTTGAGCCATCTCTCCAGCCCCCAGTACACACTCCTAACCAATGAACCATCTTTCCAGCCCCACGAAAGTAGTTTTCATTAATTTTAATTTATTTATTCTGTGAATGAGTACCATGACCCATGTATGGAGGCTAGAGCGAACTTGTGGGAGTTCAGTCCTTCTCCCATGCGGGTCCCAGGAATTGAAGATGTCACGCTTGATGGCAGTTACCTTTACCTGTTGAGTTATCTCATCAGCCCACACTTTCACTAGAAGTCAAATGCAGACAAGTGTTTTCAAAAGCACACGCACAGATATAATAGTTCAAGTCACTTATCAATCACTTACTGATTTTGTATGATCTGGTCGAGGGGCAATGACAGGAGGAGCAGCCTCTTCATCATCATCGTCTTCCTCTGTTACTACTGCTGAGGTTTCTGATCCCTTGGTATTCAGCTGCACTCATCAAAGGAGCAAAAAAGAAGACAAACCAGTATGATTAGAAGGTTAAAAATGGATTTCTCTTTTTTTTTTGGTCTTTTTGAGACAGGGTCTCCCTGTAGCTCTAGCTGTCCTGGAACTCACTATGTAGACCAAGCTGCCTTTAACTCACAGAGATCCCCCTGCCTCTGCCTCCTGAGTGCTGGTATTAAAGATGTGTGCTACTACGCCTGGCTTTAATCATTTTTTTTAAGTTTTTCTTTTTTTTATACTTTTTTTTTTGGCTTTTTGAGACAGGGTCTCCCTGTAGCCCCAGCTGGCCTGGAACTCACTTTGGGTGGCCTCGAACTCACAGAGATCCGCCTGCCTCCAGAGTGTTGAGATCACAGGCACGTCACCCTGCCCGACAAAAGTTTATTTTTTCAACAGATCATTTAAAAACAAACCTCAATGGAGCCAATATAACCAATTGCAAAGTAAATTATGCTGGAGATTGAACCCAAGGCCGTTTGTGCTTGCTAAATTATCTACCACTAACCTACATTTATAGTTCCATATATTTAAGAGTTATACCCTTTATGTAACACAAACACATTGTTCGACAAGTAACCAATCTACTTCTTAAGACCAAAGACAAAGATCTTCTGGATTCATTATATTCAGGTTTGTATATGGCAACATTAAAAAAGAAGCAGCTAAACTGCTCTGGAGGTAATGATAAAGTTACTTTAAAATTTATCAAGTAAATTCTATTTACTTAACATGGCTCCTTCAACTAATCAAATAACGACAACAAAATACTAAGTATGTGATGGCTAGTTTTATTTCTCTTTTTTTGACACAAGGTTTTGCGATTTAGTAGCCCAGGCCTCAAACTCCCCTATCTTGATTCCCCTATCTTGGCCTCTTGAGTGCTAAGATTAGAGGTATGTGCTACCACACTTGACCAATTTTATAGGTTAGAGAAGAAATAAAAAAAAGTTTTAAGTAATCTAAACTAAGACAAGAACTGTAAGAAGTAAATTATTAACTTACTGCTGGTGTTGCAGAAGGGAAGCCATCCTTTTCTGAATGTGAAATAGAAAAGAATGTTACCAATTCAAGAAAGAAAATGGGAACATGACAAAGAAAAAAATTAAAATGAAAGCAGACAGGGTTTTGCTATGTTGCCTTGGTTGGCCTGTACTTGCTATGTAGTCTCTGATAGCCTTGAATTCTGAAGCCTCCTACCTCAGACTCTTTGAGTCCTAGGATTATAATAAGCATGTGTCCCACTGCCCAGCAAGTGAAAAGAACATTTCACTTTAAGTTGAAATATTTATGAAAAAAATGACAATACCAGTATTCAAACAAGAATTTATAAGTGACCAAGGTAATGACTCAAATCTATAAAATTCCACAAACTTATTATAAAGAACTGGGGGCATTTACATCTGCCAGATTCATCAGAAAAAGTGGTAGCTAATGAAGCAAGAGAGAAGGAACTGGTAAGTCTCAACTGTTCAGTGTATTTCCATAGTATGTTCAGCAGAAATATGGCAATACCAGTATTCACAGAAGAATCTGAGTCAATTTTACTCTATGTAAATTAATTTACTCTATGTAATTTAATAAACTACTTCTGCCACCCCCCCAATCCTGGAATTCACTATGTAGACCAGGCTGGCCTTGATCTCAGAGATCCGCCTGCAGTTGCCTCTCAAGTGCTGGGATTAAAGGCGTGCGCCACCATGCCCAGCAAAGTATACTATATTTAAAATTACAAATATGAATTCAAGGACAGAATAAATGGTATCCTGAGGATGAGCAAAATCTATACTAAGGGAAACAGGACAAATGATCCAGTTCCTTAACAAACTGCAAGGAAAAGAGCATGAAAAACTAAAATTAAGAAGGGGAACCTTCATTTCAAGAAATTTCAGACTATCAGGTGTGGACTTGATTCTGATGCTGATTTAAACAAAGCAGGTTCAAAATACCATTATATTCCCATTCTATCCCAATGATATTCAACTCTGATGTAGTTAAAATCAGTTCTAATGATAATTTTACGTACTTATATATTAGAAGTTTCAATTTGACTAGAAAAAATTTTTACTTTAAAGTCAGTCCATTTAAAATATTTTATTATTTTTATTTTATGTGTATGAGTGTATTGCCTGCATGTATTTAAGCGCACCAGTGCCATGCAGTTCCCACAGAGATCAGAAGAAGGCATTGGATCCCTTGGAACTGGAGTTACAGACAGTTGTTAGTGGCCATGTGAGTGCTTGGAACCAAACCCAGGTTCTCTGCAAGTAACAGGAGCAGCCAGTAACAACTGGCTCTCTTCAGTTCACTTATTTATATAGTAAAGTCACTTCCATTTTATCCCACTAACAATAACCATGTCCCGTGTGAACATGTCTATAAATCTAGACCCTTGCCACCTGTCCTGGTTTATTTCTCCATTGTTGTAACAAAACACTCTGACCACTACCAACTTGAGGAGGAAAGGGTTTATTTTATCTTACATCTCCCAGGTCACAGTTCATCAAGGAGCACGAGGTAGGAACTCAGGGCGGGAACCTGGAGGCAGGAGCTGGAGCACAGGCCATGGAGGAATGCTGCTTACTGGCTTGCTCCCCTGGCCCCTGCTCAGCCTGCTTTCTTATGCAACACAGGCCCACCTGCCCAGGGGTGGCACCACCCACAGTGGGCTGGGCCCTCCCACATCACTCAATAATCAAGAAGATGCACCACAGACATGGCCACAGGCCAGTCCAATAGAGGCAAGTCACTAATTGCGGCTCCTTCAACCCAGGTGTATCAAGTTGATATTAAAGGTATCCAGCACACCACCTATTGCTGGGAATCATTTAAAAGCAGCAAAGAGGGCTAGACTAAATAAACAGCCAAAACATCCACTAACTCCATTTCTGGTAAATGATGAGGTTAATATAATCTCTGTACTCTCAGTTATACTCATTCAACCTGACCACCTCCAAAAGGCAGGTTTATGTAGGAGAAAAGCAGGTTCAGAACCACACTTTGACCCTTTATTTTCCTCGAAGTTGTCTTTTTATCTGGCAGTGCTTCAAAGCCTCCCGTATGACTCAGCCTTTATCACTGTCTGATGTCTTACCAGGAGGAGTAAAGCTCAGATACTTCTGTTTCACCGTGTTGGAGTCATAGAACTTTAGGACATCCAGCACAGCCTGAGGGTTCTTCTTTTGTTCTAGTTTGGTGATATTGGAGGTCTGTAACAATCGAGCCCACTGTTCTGGCATGCCCTAACAGAAGGAAATCCAGATTATTAGTTACGGTTTGAATTGCTGTAAAAGTCATTTTCATAAGCAACAAAATGTACAAGCAAACAACCAATGTACATAAATGTTAGGTTGGCTAAAAAAAACCCAAACATACATTTTTTTTTTCTTTTGGAGACAGTTTTAATTATGTAGCTCAGTCTGGCTTGGAACTCAGAATTCTATCTCAGTTGCCTGAGTGTTGGGATTATAAAAATCTGGTTTTGTGTGTATAGTACATGGATGTTTGAGTTCACATTGTGTATGTGGTCAAAGTACAGCCTCCAGTGTTAGTCCTTATGTACCTTTTGTTTGAGACCTGCTGGCCTGAACTTTATCAAATAGGTTAGGCTAGCTGACTAGCAAGCTTCTAGACCTATCTGTCTTCACCTCCCATTTTGAGATGTGGATATCTCGAATTGTATGATCATGCCACTGTACCTGGCTTTTTATATGAGTTTTTGAAACCTGAATACAGACCCATTTTGCCAACTAAGTCACCTCTCCTAGCCTAAATGTCTATTTTTCTCTACTCCCTCCCACTCCTCCTCTGAGACAGGGTCTCCCTAAGTAGCCCTGGCTGGTATCTAACTCACAGAGATCACCCTGCCTCTTCTGCCTCCTGAGTCCTGGGATTAATGGCCTGCACCTCCATGCCCAGCCCTAAAGGTCTATTTGTCTCTATTTTTGCATATCTATAATTAGTATGTTCAGCTCTCTAAAAAGATTCAATCAATTATATATACATATATTTGGGGGGGCATCTTTTTGAGATAGGGTGTCCCTGCAGCCCCAACTGGCCTGGAACTCACTATGGAGACCAGGCTGGCCTTGAGCTCAAGAGATCTGCCTGCCTCTGCCTCCTGAGTGCTGGGATTAAAGGCATGTGCCACCACGCCTGGTCCCTAACCACTAATATTTTTATGATAAGCAAAAAGCAGTAAGAACTGACAATGCTAAGTGTGGTGATTATTATTCTGGAGCTTGAAAACAGGAGGATTCAGAGTTCCAGGCTTTTCTGGGACACATAAGATTTTGATTCTCTTGTCTCTGCCTCTCATTTCACTGTAGAACACTGGGATTACAGATAGGTGTGTGCTACTGAACCTGGCTTTATGTGTATTCTGGGGATTCAAATTCAGGTCCTCACACAGCAAGCACTTCTACTCAGCTATTTCTAGCCCTTGAGCATTGTTTTAACATTATGAACAAACCCCACCCAGGTAAACTTACAGTAAACTCTCCAGTAACAGCATCAAAGCCAACATGGATGGTGTGCTCAAAATCAGACGGAGGAGAAATCTCTGGTCGTTCTTTTTCTTTCTTTCTACTTCCTAGAGGGCACAGGGGGAAGGGGGGAGGAGAACAGAGAATCTCTTTAAACAAAGCTAATAATGGGATTTATAATTGTGTTTGTATTTTTCCTGTAACAGATTAGAAATGAAGTTATTTTCACAGAGACTTCTTTTAGAAACATTGGCTGATAGGAAGTTGGTCAACAGAGTGCTCCATCTGCTGTGAAGCAGGGGTAGATACTTGCAAAAGTAGTTTACAGAACTAAAGAGAAAGGCAAGCTGAATTGTTTTTCTCCCTCCTCTCACAACTTGGTTTTCTGAGAACAGGGTCTCATTCCCTAGCCTAGGCTGACCTCAAATTCATGCCAACCTATCAAGTCTAAGGGTTGAAAGCATGAGCCACCATACTTGGCTTAATTCTTTTTTTTGATTAATTTATTTTTATTTTTATGTGTATTAATGTTATGCCTGCATGTGTGTAGGTGCACTCATGTCGTGCAGTGCACATAGGACAGAAAAGGACGTTGGATCCCCTGGATCTGGAGTTACAGACGGTTGGTAGCTGCCATGTGGGTGCTGGGATTTGAACCTAGGTCTTTTTCAAGAACAGCCAGTGCTCTTAATCACTGAGCTATCTCTTCAGCTCCAGCTTAATTCTGCAGTTTCTAACTATAATAGCTTTGTAATTTTTATTTAATTTTTTAATTTTATATGTATGAGTGCACTGCCTGCATGTGTGTAAGTGCACCTGTGCTGTGCAATGCCCTCAGAGGTCAGAAAAAGTGTTGGATTTCCTGGAACTGGAGTTAGAGATGGTTGTTAGCCACCACGTGGGTGCTGGGAATCAAACCCAGGTCCTCTAGAAGAGCACCCAGTGTCCTTAACGTCTGAGCCATCTCTCCAGTCCCATAACTAGAACATCTTAAAACTACCCAGGTCTTCTACGGTTCCACTGTAATTTCTTTTTTGACATTCTTGGCCACATCAATACTATTCTTTGCAAATTAAAGTACATCAGTGCAGTCTCCTTGCCTAGCCCTCCTCCTCTAATCTTCAGTTCATACATATATGCATCTATTTCTGGATGCTGTGTTCTGTTAAAATCATCTATCATTATGCCAATGACAGTCTACCTTGATTACTGTCATTTTTATAAACAAGCATTGAAAAGTACACAGTGTCTCCCTTTTTTAAAATCTGCTAGATTTCAGGTTCTCTACATTTCCGTAAGAAAGAAAGAAAGAATGATCTTGTACATTTCTACAAAAATTACAGGATTATGAGTGAAACTGCACTTAATCTATAGATCAATTTAGGGAGTATATTTTTTATTTTATGTTTTGTTTTTGTGCATGAGTGTACTGCCTGCATGTGTCATGCAGTGCCTGTGGAGGTCAGAAGAGGGTGTCAAATTCCCCTGAAACTGGAGTTAAGGACAGTTGTTAGCCACCATGTAGGTGCTGGGAATCAAACCTAGGTTCTCTGTAAGACCAGCCAGTGCTTTTAACGGCTGAGCCATCTCTCCAGCCCCTAGAGAGCTTATTTTTTTAACACTGAATTGCCATCAACTAGGTAATTTCTCTCAGCAATGCTTGCTAGTATAAAGGAACAGAGTACTGACCCTGTCATTACTTTTGCCCTATTTCTACACAGGAATACGCTGTAATTTTTGATGCTACTACAAAGAGCATCAAAATAGCAAGAAGAGTGTGTGTGTGTGTGTATGTGTGTGCCACCTTGCACATGAGGAGATCAAAGGACAATGTATGGGTGCCTGTTCTCTTCTTCAACCAAGGGTCCCAGGGATAGAACTCAAGTTATCGGACTTGGTGGCAAGTGCTTTTACCCACTGGGCCATCTCAATAGCCCCAAAGGCAGTTTTAAAACTTCAATTTTCGGGTTGGGGATATAGCTCAGTGGGGATATAGCTAGCATGCTTGAAACCTTGGGTTCAACCCCACCACAGAATATATGCAAGAAATTTTTTTTGTTTGTTTGTTTTTTTGAGACAGGGTCTCCCTGTAGCCCTAGCTGGCCTGGGTTCACTATGGAGACCAGGCTGGCCTCAAACTCACAGAGATCCACCTGCCTCCCGAGTGCTGGGATTAAAGGCATGCGCCACCACGCCCAGCAAAAATTGATTCTTTAATACTGATCTTATATCCTAAAACCTTATTAAACTTACATCTAAAATTTTTGTAGGTATCAGAATTTTCTATAAAAATTCAAACATGTGGCTAGATATGCTTACACTTCCTAATTTGGATCATTGATTTCTTTTTCCTTGTCTTACTGTACTGGCTAGAACATTGTTCTGTAAAGATGGGGGGTGCACTCAAGAGATGGCTTGATGACTAAGAGCATGTACTGCTCTCGTAGAGGACCTGAGTTCTATTCCCCAGCACCCATGACAGGTGGCTTACAATCCCCATAACTCTAGCTCCAGGAGACCTGATGCCCTCTTCTGAATTCTGCAGATACCTGCACTCATGTGCACATAGCCATATAACTAAAAATAGTAAGATCTTTTTTAAAGAGATGGTAAGCAGAGTTTTTGCATTGTTCTTTAAATTTTATTTGTTTATTTTTGAGACAGGCTCGCTCTGTAGCCCCAGCTGGCTTTGAATCCAGAGATCTGCCTGCCTCTGCTTCCTGAGTGCTGGGTGTACCACCACCATGCCTGTCAAGTTTTTATATTTTTACTGATCAAACAGGTTAGGGTTATTTATGAACCATTTAGTCTAAGGTTTATTTATTTTGATTTTAAGTGTATGAGTGTTTTGCCTTCATATACGTATGTGTATCACATGTATGCCTGGTGCTCCTGAAGGTCAGAAGAGAGTTTACAGACAGCTGTGAATTGTCATCTGGGTGCTGAGAATTGAACCCAGGTCCTCTGCAAGATCAGCAAGTACTCTTAACCACCGAGCCATCACTCCAGCCCTCAACCATTTAGTTGAATGCCAAAGGTCAACGTTTCTAACATGCCCTTTTATCAAGTTCAGTACATTCCTTTCAATTCCAACTTTGCTTAACACTTCTGTCAAATGAATATTGGATTCTGTCAAATGTCTTTTCTACATTTATTGAGATGAACACACACGCTGTCCTAGTTTGTTCTTCATTGCTGTGACAAAATACTCTGACCAATACCAACTTGGAGAGGAAAGGGTTTATCCAGCTTACATCTTCCCAGGTCGCAGTTCATCAGGGAGCCCAAGGTAGGAACTCAGGGCAGGAACCTGGAAGCAGGAGCCGGGTGGAGCACAGGTCATGGAGGAATGCTGCTTACTGGCTTGTTCTCCTGGCCCCTGCTCAGCCTGCTTTCTTATACAACACAGGCCCACCTGCCCAGGGGTGGCACCACCCACAGTGGGCTGGGCCCTCCCACATCACTCAACAATCAAGAAAATACCCCTCGGACACGGCCACAGGCCAGTCCAATAGAAGAAATTCCCCAACTGAGGATTCCTCAACACAGGTGTGTCAGGTTGACACTAAAGCTATCCAGCGCGCGCACACACAAATTACATTGATTTTCAAATGTTTAGCCTTGAACCTGAACGAAACCTATTTTGTCCTATCTATTATCCCTTTTACGTGTTCTTAGGTATCTACTGCTAAAACTTTGCCAAGACTTTACATACATGTTCAAGAGATGTACAGCTTTCTTTTTTAGTGTGTAAAGTCTTTGGTGTGGGTATCCAGGTTAATTCTAGTCTCAGCAAACAAGTTGGGAAGCATTACCTCCTATTCAGTTTTCTGGAAATTGCATAAAACTGGTACTATTTCTTTCCAAAACATTTCACTGACTAACTTACCAGACAGGTCTTGAATTTTCTTTGTGGGAGGGTTTTAGATACAAACTAAATTTTTCTGAGACATATATAGTTTTTAGGTTCTCTAAAACTAATCAGGTTGCTTTTATTTATTATTTATTTTTTGGTCTTTTTTGAGACAGCGTCTCCTTGTAGCCCCAGCTGTCCTGGAACTCACTATGTAGACCAGGCTGGCCTTGAACCCAAAAGATCCGCCTGCCTCTACCTCCCAAGTGCTGGGATTAAAGGCGTGTGCTACCATGCCCAGCTACTTAGGTTATTTTTTAAGATAAGCTTTCCAAATTTTATTTCTTAAGAAAAAATTTCTATTTTACTCAACTTGTTGAATTTATTGGCATAGATTTGTATAACATTAACTTCTTGTTGTATACTGAACTTGGGGCCTCAAGGATGTTAAGCACATGCTCTACCCTGATCTTCACCACTAACCCCAGTATTTCTTTTATTTTAACCTAATTTGTGACTTTATGTAAAAAGTTTACGTAAAAACTTGATATAAAAAAATAGATTTCCAGGGCTGGAGAGATGGCTCAGCACTTAAGAACACTGGTTGCTCTTGCAGAAGACCCAGGTTCAAATCCCAGCACCTACATGGCAGCTAACAGCTGTCCGTAACTCCAGTTCCAGGGTATCCAATAGCTTCTTCTGTCCTCTGTGGGCACTGGATGACATGGGTACACTTACCTACACACAGGGAATACACACATACACATAATAAAAATAATAAAATATTTTTTAAAAAGTAGATTTCCTGTAGGTTGTATGTAGTTTTAGCTGCTTTACTGATCATTTTTGGTATCTTTTGCTATGTTTACTTATTGTACAATACAATGAGTTTGTGTATTTATAATTTTGCAAACACTACCATAATATAATTAATACAATTTTGTCACTCACTAAAGAAACCTTGTATTCATTAGCAGCCACTCCTTATTTCCCCCTTGACCTACTCTAACCCATTACCAAATACTAATCTTTTTTGAAATTTTACTTTTTAGAGAGCGAGAGAGCATGCGAGCATGTGACTACTTGTCTGTATATGCACCACCTATGAGCAGTGCCCTCTAAGGCCAGGTGGCATCAGATTCCGCTGGAACTGGAGTTATAGGAGGTTGTGAGCTGCCCAATGTGGGTGCTGGGAACTGAGCCTGGGTCTTCTGTAACAGCAGCCAGTGCTCTTAATCGCTGAGCTACCTCTTC